CATTGCACCAAGGATAACATCAAAGTCAAGAGCAAAGATATCAATGTTCTTTTTAAGCAGATCAGCCCAGCGGGGCAGCTCAGAGGCGTCAGGGAACTGTGCACGACAGGCGTCGTCAAGACAGGAGAAGCGACACTGGTGTGTGTGGGGCCTCCCACACGTCTGACCAGCGTGGTCACCTGTGCGGATGACATACGGGCAGGTACCTCCACCCCCAGACCCCCCATGCTGAGAGTACCACTCACGAAGCTGCTGGGGCGACGGGGTCTCTCCAAGACGCTGCTGCTGGCGCTGGACACCACCCGAACCTCCACGCTGCGCTGGTCCACCCCGACCACCACCCCAGCTGCCGCCACCACGCCCACTGCTGCCACCACCACCGCCTCCACTCTGCCTCCTCCACGTGTGAAGAATGAGGAATGAATGAACTAGCAAGCAGGTGGGTACAAGTAGGAAAACCTAGAAGTGTTGTACCCCATATTGTCTACCCCACTATAGCCTACACAGACTATAGCATAAGAGTTTGACACCACCACCACTGCAGCCACCACCCCCGCCGCTGCCACTGACGCCCCCAGCCCCGCCACCACCGCCACCACCCCCACCGCCCCCACCGCCTCCACCTCCACCTCCCCCGCTGTCACCTCCACCAGCCTTGTCCCCCTTGCCCCTGCCGCCCTTGCGCCTCCCACTAGGAACAGACGTAGCCCCGACTTCCTCAGCACCAAGGTAGCCGACAGCGGCAGCAGAGGCAACCGAGGGGAGAAGGGGGGGAGGGGAACACACGTCAAAGAAGGGCGTGCGGGGGTCGCCACGAGAGGCACCTACAGCAACTATGCTAGCCTCAGCTGCAAGCAGGTGCTTCTCGAGCAGGTCAACGGTGAGCTCAGTGGGGCAGAGGGCGAGAATGTGGTCCCTGACTGCGCGAAGAGAGTCAGGGAGACGGGTGACTAGGTGGTAGAGAACGAGGTACATCGGGGGAGGATTCTTGGCAAGAAACTCAGCAGGAAAGGCGGATTGGTAGCGAGTGTCACTAGTGCGGAGGTGAGTAATGAGGTCAGCGACTGTGGGAAAGGCGGCCAGATTGGGGAAAAGATAGGGCAGCAAGAGACGGCTGATCGTAGCAGAGGCAGGCGAGGAGTAGCGTGCGATTACTGCATCGTACAGTGCCTTGGCAGTCTTGTGCTGGCCAAAATGCGCGCGCTCATCTAACGGCAGGTAACTGCAAATGGCTAGGCGAGCGTGAGCGTCACGAGTCTGCCACTGGGAGCAAGCTGTACTGTTAGCAGTCTCAGCAGGTGCTAGAGCAGTTCTAGACGCGTGATCATACAGCGAGACATCGTCCTTAGTAGTGATCTGTAGGAATAGGTGCAGGTCGTCGAGCCAAGCATCAAACTGAATCGGACGGCCCTCAGCATCGAAAGAGAGAACGGTGGGACTAGCCATAGTGGCAGCAGTAGTAGTAGCAGTAGTAGATGTAGGAACAGTAGCAGTAGGAACAGCAGAAACAGCAGTAGCAGTAGGGCAGTGCGGCTCAGACGGGGCGGCGCGGCACGGTTCGGGCAGGGCGGCGCGGCGTGGCTCGGGCAGGGCGGCGCGGCGGCGGGCCTGCGCGCAGGCTGCTGTTGCGCACGGGCCGGGACTGCCCGTGGGCTGCAGTTGCGCGCGGGCAGCAAGCTACGCGCTAGCTGCAGCAGCCGGCGTGCGGGCTGCGCGCGGGGCCGCACGAGGACGGCGCGGGCTGCGCGCGGGCGGTGCTGGTCGCGTGGGCGGCTAGCGGGCTACGCGCTCGAGAAACGGGCCGCGCGCGGGCAGGTAGCGGGCTGCGTGCGTGCTAGAAAAAAAAAAAAAACGGGCCGCGCGCGAGCGGCTTGCGGGCTGCGCATGGGCAGCGTGAGAGGGAGGGCGCATGAGGGCGCACTAGTAGAGAGGCGCACGAGGGCGCGAAGAAGGTAGGGTGCACAAGGGCGCTTCTAGCGGAACGGTGGGCCTTTAGGACTAAGCGGTCCTAGGTTCCTAACCTAGGCTCGTAATACAATGCCAGAATCAACAAGTGTGTGTGCACTAGAAAAGTGGTGGGTACAAGTAGGAAAACCTAAACTTACTGTACCCCATAGTAACTACCCCACTACAGCCTAAACAAACCGTAGAGTATAAGTTTGACACACGCAAGGCTATTAGCACTTGGGATTACGCCCAGATTACACCGTATACACCACTGTCGGCGCTGTCGGTGCCGTATAATAAGTATGTCAGTGGGAAAAGTAGGAAATAAGAGAAATAAATAGAAGGCTCTAGAAAATAGAATAGTAGGCCAATTGAGATGAGATAAAGACCAAAAAAAAGAGGAGAAAAAGGAGAACAAGATAAAAGAAAAATATAATAATGAGAAAATGTTATAACGGGGACGTCCTCTCACAGCAGGCGTGACTGCCCGTTACAGTTCCCCCTTCACACCCACAACCACTAACATGTCTGCTGCTGCATGTCCCTAGTTGACCAATCGTAGCACACTGTGAGTCAAGTTCCCGCGTGTTGCCTCTGTGCGCTGGCAATGCCCAACTCACATCACCCCACCCATCTCAAGCCAGTGCAGTGCATGTTGGTGGCACCTGGCTACCTCGTTCACCACGCCCTTCCATCTGTTCAGTACTTCTCTTCTTTGCTCGGCAGGCTCTGCTCTGCAGTGGTTGCAAACACTATGCTCTGCTCTGGGAATCCGCACTGAATACCTCTTGATCGCCATGGCGGACTCTAGCCCGCCTCCCACCCACACAGATCATATAGTAGCTCCGATTGCTAACAACAGCAGTCGTGGCCTTACGGGCCTTGACTTCCTCCGACCTGCTAGCGCTATCGTTAACATGGCCTGCACTCGTCTCCCTGGTGCAATTTCCACACAGCACGATATTAGAGGGGCCCTTCGTCCCACAGTACCACCCTCGGCCTCAACTCCTGCTCAGGCTGATTCTCAGCCTGACCCATCAACTAGGGCTCCGCCGACTTCTGAAATGCAGCTCTACTCTACCGCTGAGACGGGGCAGGATGGCGAGGCGTCGCCTCCTCCCGCATCTACGTCACGGCCGACACCAGCAAGGTGGATGGGCGTGAGAGTAGGGCTGAGATACGGCACGATGCGCTTTCGGCAAGCGCAAATTACCTTCCATCGTGCCTGCGCTGGAGCTTCAGCGTCAACCGCGACACCGTCCCCAATCGCAGGCCCCTCCAATCCTTCCACCTCCAACTCATCCATTGTGCTTGTCGACGAGGCAGAGCTGAAGTATCAGGACGCCCTGTACCAATACACGAAAGAGTGGTCGGGTGATTTCCTGTGGCTTGTTTTGTGTCAGCAACCTGATGGATTTCCCTCTGTGAAATGCAGTGTATGTGTGGCTCAGGGTGTGACAGGAACGAAATTCAGCCGCACAGGGCATGGTGCAGTTGACATTTAGACCCAAGCGTTCAGAGCATACCAGAGAATGAGGAAGCACGAACGTGCTTTGAAGGAGCAGAAAATCACAGAGAGGAAGGCAAAGGGACAGACATGGCTTGACGACTGCCCCACGGTGTACGACATCGAGAAGGAGCGTGTGATCGCTCGGCCCGTGGCCTTGCTCTTCATATGCCAATAGGATGCACCAATTGAGATGTGGGTCGACTTGGTGAAGAATCTAGCCGAACACCGGACTTCTGGTTTCCCTAAGAAAGGCTACGGTGCTTACTACACCACGTAAGACTTGTCCAAATGACACGTTTTTGCCGTTTAAGTTTCCCACTCCTTTCTAACCAGCAGGACGTGGTGTGTTTTGTTCCAGGTATGGCTTCCAGGAACTCACGAGTGCCACCGCGACATACCTCCATGCGCGCCAGCGAGAGCACATCGACGAGTCCCCTTTCCTTGGGATCACTTGTGACGAGAGCACGGATCGTGTGCGCGGCAAGCACATGATAGTGTTCATCACTTTTCTGCGAGAGCGTGCGGTCGTTACTGAGTTCTTGACGTTGCTCACCATTGACAAGTGTGATGCTGCTTCTCTCCTCTCCGTGCTCCTCTCACACTTAGAGACCACTGGCCTCGGCCTGAACAAGATATTAGGTGTTGCGACAGACGGCGCACCGGTCATGTTGGGATCGTCTGGCGGTTTGGTCGCGCGGCTTTAACAGTGCCTGCCTCATCTCGTTGGCACCCACTGTGTCGCTCATCGGTGATTGATTGTCTTTTCCTGCCTCAAGGCATCAGGATTTATGAAACTGATATCCCTGTTGGTTTTGTCTGTCCGTGGCTGGGAAGCTCTCGCAGCCAAGGATGCTGCGTTGTCGGAGCCAGATGTTGGCTTGATTGACGTCATACTCCGTGCGGTGTGTGGCATCCTCGGGAAATCACACCCACGGCACGGTGTCTTCATGCGTCTCCAGGAGACATTCTTACACACAAACGTGGAGATGCAGGGCATTCACGATGTCCGCTGGCTGAGTCGGGGCCAGGCCGTGGAGTGACTCTGCGAAGTCCTACCCGCGGTGATTGTGCTTCTCCAAGAGTACGACACTGCCATCTACCACGTCATAACCTCGCTGAAGTTCCATGCGTACCTTTTCTTCCTCGCTGATGTCCTGGCAGAGCTCAACAACCTCAACCTTGTATTTCAGCGACGCGAGGTGAGTGGTCCAGTGGTACGGGTCATTTTTCCCGTGCCCTCTTCAACAAACTAATCGCTATCTCCTCTTTGCTGTATTCTGCATCCCTCGCCCACCTGCAGGTTGACCTCACTGGCGTGCAGTCCCTGGTCCGCCGCACACTCATCTTCATCCGAGAGCGCTACATCGACTGTAGGCCAAAGTTTGGCGCGGAGACAAGCAAGCGCCGGTCGCCCTTCCTCAAGCGTCTCTCGTCCAGCCGCACCGTCAAGGTGGAAGGCGTTGACAGCGATGGAAGCACGCTGAAACACAGCTTTGACTTGCACGAGGAGCCGCTGAAAGGGTACAGCAAAACGCCAGGCGACCTAGAGACTTGCATCAACACCTGCCGCTCCTATGCTGTTGCGGTAGTGGAACACCTGCAGGAGAGGTTCAAAGACCTTGATAGTTTGGACGGCGCAAAGCTCTTCATGCCGGACAGCTGGCCAAAGGACACGGACGGACGGAACAAGGAATGTGCAGCCGACCTGGAAGCCCTATTCAAGATGTTCCACATCGGCGAGCGGAGGGAGGGGCTTCTTTGTGAGTGATGCTTTCGGCAAGCGCATCACCTGCGCATGTTAGCGCAGACTGACTGGCGTGCCTCTTGCATGTGATCTTGGGTGCAGGTGTGGACAAGCGCATGGCAAAGAAGGAGCTTAGGACTCTGGTGCCTGTTCTCCAAGGAGCACCTCGTGGAGAGCGCAGCTTCCACGATGGCCTGGCGGCAATGCTCAAGACCGGCGACTGGGAGAGGAGCTACCCGAACCTTATGAAGCTGTGGGTAGCAGTGGCGGTCCTGCCGCTGAGTACAGTGGAGTGTGAAAGGGGATTTAGCAGGCAGAACATCATCAAAACCTGGCACAGGATGAGCCTCTGCAATGGAAATCTCGGCGATCTCATGTGCCTGAGCATGCTGCGATACAACGTGGATTGGGATGAGGTGGTGAAGATATGAAGGAGCAGCAAAAGCGCCGACCCACCCACAGTAAAGATCATCAGCAGCACAAGCAGCTGCAACAGCAGCAGCGGCACCAGCAGCAGGCCAAGGGTTGGGAGAAGGTGCCCGACGACCACGATTCAGACGATGAGAGGAACAGCAGCAGTAGCAGCTCTATCTCGGATGGGGAAAACTACTAATTTTGGTTCTATTCAAGTGTAATAGTAGTTTAGGGGGTGTGTAATGGTCGTAGTAGTAATCTACCAGACGAACATACTGTGGCCAATATTGTGTTTCCATTTCAAACATTGAATAAATCATGCAACAAAAAATGCCATGAGGTTTCAGGGTTTACTTCTGGCATGCCCTGAGAAATCAGGGTCCCCCTAGGGGCTCTGCCTTGAGGAGGACACGCATTTTTTAGCCATGCCCTGAGGGCCCAGGGTCCCTAAAATTGAATCTGAGGCCCTGGTTCGGGATCAAGGAGCATGTGACAGGATTACAGGTTTAAAGCCCGAGTTCTACATAGCGGTCTTCGCCACAAACCATGTTACCAGCTGGGCCACAACAAAGTATCGCTTTCATGCGGCACAGGTTATCCGTGGTTGGCCAGTGAAAAACCTGTACTGCCGACGAGAGGGAGGCAAGGCAACACGATACTATTCATGTTCAGTAAAGTTGGAAACCATCAGAACCTCTTTGGCAAGCATATTAGAGGCAAAATAGTAGTGCCCTTAGCAAAGCAGACATAGGCGCTAGGCTCAGAACCGGATCTTCGCCTCTCGACAGCACGAATGTGTTCCGTGCCTTCCGCTCCCCCCGTCAATCCATCTTAGCCCAATCCCGATGCCCTCAAGGTCCTTGTTTGCTAAGGCAAAATTCGCTGGTCCTCGCTGCGCAGGGCGCTACTAAATGATCCCCGCCGCCTCTCAATCGCCGAAACGTCGCGCGCGTGTCCCCTCGTCGCACTTGTTTCCCCTCGTCGCACTCGTTTCGCGTCATCGCACTTGTTTCCCCTCGTCGCGAGGGTCTCTCGTCCTCGCACTCGCTATCCGTCATCGCCCTCACTCCCCCTTGTCACGCTCGCTCCCCCACGGCAGCCGTAGGGAGTGTAGTAAGGAAGGAGACAGAGAGGACAAGAAGGGATGAGAAATGGAGGGCGGAGAGATATGGGAGTGGGAAGGCTGGAAGAGATGCGGGAGGGCGGGGTGCAATGGGAGCGGGACAGCGGGAAGGAAGGAGATAGGCCAGGGGGAACTACGAGCGACGGAGGGAACTGCGGGCGACGGAGGGAACTGCGGGCGACGGAGGGAACTGCGGGCGACGGAGGGAACTGCGGGCGACGGAGGGAACTGCGGGCGACGGAGGGAACTGCGGGCGACGGAGGGAACTGCGGGCGACGGAGGGAACTGCGGGCGACGGAGGGAACTGCGGGCAACGGAGGGAACTGCGGGCGACGGAGGGAACTGCGGGCGACGGAGGGAACTGCGGGCGACGGAGGGAACTGCGGGCGACGGAGGGAACTGCGGGCGACGGAGGAAACTGCGGGCGACGGAGGGAACTGCGGGCGACTGAGGGAACTGCGGGCGACGGAGGGAACTGCGGGCGACGGAGGGAACTGTGGGTGATGGAGGGAATTGCGGGCGACGGGGGAGGGGGAACGACCGCGATGGGGATGGGGGGGAGAGGGTGATGGAAGATAGGTGGTAGGGAAGGGGAGATGGTGATAGAAATGGAAGGGCGCGTTCATGGGAAGAGTGAGAGAAAGGCTGGGAGAGATTGAAAGAGAGAGGCGGGGAGGGATGTGAGGGGGGGGAGGGAAGAGGATAACAGGGGGTAGGCAAATCAGTGGTTGGAGGAAGGACTGTGGGGTAAAACAGGTTGGTAGGGAGGATGGATGTGTTTGGGGATATGTGTTTGAGGATATGTATTTGGGGATATGTGTTTGGGGATATGTGTTTGGGGATATGTGTTTGAGGATATGTGTTTGAGGATATGTGTTTGGGGATATGTGTTTGAGGATATGGGTTTGGGGTCATGTGTTTGAGGATATGTGTTTGGGGATATGTGTTTGAGGATATGTGTTTGGGGATATGTGTTTGAGGATATGTTTTTGGGGATATGTGTTTGAGGATATGTGTTTGGGGATATGTGTTTAAGGATGTGTTTGGGGATATGTGTTTGGGGATATGTGTTTGAGGATATGTGTTTGAGGATGTGTTTGGGGATATGTGTTTGGGGATATGTGTTTGAGGATATGTCTTTAGGGATATGTGTTTGGGGATATGTGTTTGGGGATATGTGTTTGAGGATATGTCTTTAGGGATATGTGTTTGGGGATATGTGTTTGAGAATATGTGTTTGGAAATATGTGTTTGAGGATATGTATTTGGGGATATGTGTTTGGAAATATGTGTTTGAGGATATGTGTTTGAGGATATGCGTTTGGGGATATGTGTTAGAGGATATGTGTTTGAGGATATACGTTTGGGGATATGAGTTTGGGGAGGATATACGTTTGGGGATATGTGTTTGGGGATATGTGTTTGGGGATATGCGTTTGGGGATATGCGTTTGGGGATATGCGTTTGGGGATATGCGTTTGGGGATATGCGTTTGAGGATATGTGTTTGGGGATATGGGTTTGGGGATATGTGTTTGAGGATATGTGTTTGGGGATATGTGTTTGGGGATATGTGTTTGGGGATATGTGTTTGAGGATATGTGTTTGGGGATATGTGTTTGGGGATATGTGTTTGGGGATATGTGTTTGGGGATATGTGTTAGAGACTTAGGACGGAGTCTATGAAGATTAGGGGCCGAAATATCACAAAATCGTTTCTCAATTCCTGGACGGAATAGTCGCGCTCACAAGAAACGTCGTAGACAGAAAACGCACCGTCAAAACTTCCTTAATTTCGGATATGTTGTAGCTGTATTCCGTGGCTACAATTCCCAAGTTGGATCGTACAAAAAGATGAAGTATTTCTTGAGTTATCAATTTCGGCGCACTAGGGGGTATGCTGCCATAGAATCTTAACTCAATCACAAACTTCACACAATCACTACACAAGAGAGTTAGAGTAGCTAGAATCCAGGTAGGAGGTAGAGGAGGACGAGAGGGAAGGTCCCCAAGAGAGTCCCCAACCAAGGAAACCCCATGCCACACAATTTCCCTCTCTATAGCAACCCCACTTTTACTTTTGTCACTTTCCCAATCCATGCCATCCACCTCACCCAACTTGGCCACACTTGCCAACCTGGTTTGGCTCCTCCCAACCACTTGGCAGCATCTACAGTGATGTTGACGAATTTTCCAACCCCCAAAAGTCTATACCTCTTATGAAGTCAACCCCATAACTTCCCATAGTCACCACAACCAAATATCAAAAGCATACGAACTTCTAACGTTCGTAACTTTCTTGTTCGTGCTCCGATTGAAGCGATACTTGGTTCGTCGGAAAGCTCTTGAGCAGAGGAGTCACTTCAGATATTTTCTCAAGCCAAATGAAATTCACACACACTCAGAAAAACCAAACCAAATCAAACACACCACGCATGCAACGCACGAACATGTGATGGGAGGCAGACAGACGTGAATGCAAGTGATAGCATCACATAACAATATGTGTTTGGGGATATGTGTTTGAGGTCGGCATGTGGGGGCGATGAGGGGAGGCGAGGACGAGCAGGAAAAGCCAATGCATCGAGGGGGAGCGAGCGAGCCATATGCCCTACCTTCCCCCCTCGTATGCCCTGCTTCCCCCCCCTCATATGCCCTGCTTCCCCCCCTCATATGCCCTGCTTCCCCCCCTCGTATGCCTTGCTTCCCCACCCCGTATGCCCTGCTTCCCCCCCTCATATGCCCGTCTTCCCCCCCTCATATGCCCTGCTTCCCCCCCTCGTATGCCCTGCTTCCCCCCCTCGTATGCCCTGCTTCCCCCCCTCGTATGCCCTGCTTCCTCCCCTCGTATGCCCTGCTTCCCCCCCTCGCATGCCCTGCTTCCCCCCCTCGTATGCCCTGCTTCCCCCCCTCATATGCCCGTCTTCCCCCCCTCATATGCCCTGCTTCCCCCCCTCATATGCCCATCTTCCCCCCCTCATATGCCCCGCTCCCCCCCCCCTCATATGCCCTGCTACCCCCCATCCCCTTCTCTGCTACCCCCCCATCCCCTTTCCCGCTACCCCCCCTCCCCTTTCTTGCTACCCCCCCATCCCCTTCCCTGCTACCCCCCATCCCCTTCCCTACTTCCTCTCTGGCAGGTCCTCCCTCTACTCCTCCTCCCGCGCCTCCTTTTAACATGGTGCATTTCCCAGGTAATGGCAGGTGGTTCTGCCAGGTCATTGTGTGAGGGGCAGATGATTTGCCCGTCCCCTTCCACGGCACTCACACGCACCACTTTTCTGCTCTTCATATCCTCCCTCAGATTCCACGGCACTCGCACGCACCACATGTATTGCGGAACCCTTCTCTGCACTTTGCCTCACTACATGTCTGCCTGCGTTTGTGCCTCTGTGTGTGTCTTTTTTGCCTCCGTGCCTGCGTGCGTGCGTGCGTGTGTGCGTGCGTGCGTGCGTGCACGTGTGTGTGCGTATACCTGTGCACGGCCGGCAGGACCTGATGCCAATCATCGACCGTGACCCCGTGGGAGGCACACCCGGTGCAGGTGGGGAGGTGCGGCCGCCCAAGAAGCTGCGGGATGTGGGAGCGGGGGTGGGGGCCGTGGGGAGCGACGAGGAGGATGAGAAGGAGCAGCTGCGCCTGGCCCCGGCGGCTTCCATGGAGGGGCACACAGAGGATCAGGGGGGCGACACTGAGGGGGGAGAGCAAGGTGGGCCATGGGCCCATGCAGGGACGACGCCTCCCGTGCGGCAGAGGGTCAGGAGCAACAAGGGGCGTGGGCAGGAGGGGCAGCGGAGGAGGAGGTTGAGTTACCAGAGGAGCCATCAGTGCGCATTCCTGCCAGCCGTTGCATTGCCATTCGCTGCCCGGATGGCACTCGGCTGCAGTGTCGGTTCCGGGCCCAGGCACTCTCTGCAGGTTCTGTCCCCATCCTTCAAAACAACCTGCTTGCCACCCGTCCTACGTCTGAGCACTGTCCTTCCTGCCATGCTCATTCCCTTGCTCTCCCACTCACTCCCTTGTTTTCCCACGCCCCACTCCCAACCCCCCCAGCTGCTCGGAAGCCGATCTAAGACTGGATCCGCCCTGTGGCGAACCCCTTTACGCGCACCGTCACGCTGCTCACGGAGCAGTACCAGCCCACGGCGCACTTCTGCGGGTTCTGCAAGATGGGCGCGCAGCTGGCAGAGCTGCAAGGCAGCCTAGTCTCGAGACTGCCTTCAGCCTCCCCTGCTGCCCCTTACCCTCTGCCGACCTGCATTGTATAAGGCCCTGCACTTTCTGTTGCCACCGTCCCTGCGTGTAAGGAGGGATTGGGAGGTGCAACGCCTGACAGCGCGCACTTTGCAGGCAAGTGTGTTGAAGGTGGATCATGGGGCAGGGGTAATGGAGTGATGCCTCTGCAGCATGGTCAGTGCGGAGTGGCGTGGGAGGAAGGCACAAAAGGCAGGGGTTAGCTGGCTGTAGGGATCGACTTGTGGGTCGTGCTTTGTTTTGTGCAGGATGTTTATAGGCTGAATTCGGTTTACCTATTATGATACTGTTTACAAGGTTTAGAATGTGTATGCCATAGTTGACCCGAGCTCCTACGCATAATAAGGATGAAGAAATGAGCTTGTACCTAGCTGTGTAAGATATATCCTCTACCAAACATACACAAAGTAGCCAAGGTTACCATAGTTGGCTTGGTATAAAGGCGTGTCATACATGGTGAGTACATAGCTCGGGAATCACTGTTCAGGCTGGTACCGTAAATATCACTTCAAATCGGTGAAGCACACTTGACGTTATAGAACGCACAATGTCGTAGCCAGCCGCTTAGAATGAACTGCAAGTTCACCGAGCATGACACGCCCTTAGAGAAAGAACTTGTTGTTGCCTATAAACGGGGAGCAATTTCACCAAGATACATCAGGCGATTCATGCGGGGCGACACTCAAGACGATCGAGCTGAATAAGTCCAGGTAAGCCCAGCAGAGAGGAGTGGCGGCGTCTGGCAAATATGAGGGGTAGAGGGAAAATTTGGAGAGGCTCTCTACTGTTGCTGTGCAATGGCCTAGGTGGCAGAGGGGGGAGGGGGAGGATGGGGGGGTCAGAGGGGTTGGGCGAGTGACTACACAAGCACCTACACTAAAAGCACAAGTACCTACACTAGCAACAGGCAAAGGTCCTACACGCAAGCCAAGAGATTCATACGTGATAGAATAAATAGCATCCATAGACATAGCAAACACATGGTAACCACTACGAAACAGACGGGGCCAGATTGGGGGAGCCGACCCAGGCCCAAAACGCTCACGGTAGAGGTCGTCGAGGCGGTTGTAGCAGCGCTGTGTAGAGTGGTCAGGACGCCAGCAGGTAGTGCCAGCACCAGGGCCAGTGAGGATCCGGTACTGGCAGGGGCCGACGTCGCGGCCACCGCGTTGGCTGCCTGGACCGCTACTGCAGCCAACGCTACTCAAACCACCAGGCCCCCACGGCTGCTGAGGGTGCCACAGCTGCTAAGGGCGGAGCTGCTGCTGAGGGCGCCCCAGCTGCTGCGGAAGCCACTGCTACTGTGGGCGCCACTGCTGAAATGGCCGCTCCTGCTGTCCCTGCTGCTGGAGAACCCTAGTGGACTCCATGATAAAAGCTAGTGGGGTGGAGGAGCGGTAGGCTAGAAGCGACAGGAGCTAGGGACGGCAACAGTGAAAAACGAGAACAACTAGGAGCGCCAAATGAAACTAGGCGAGTAACTGCTGGAGCACGGAGAGAACTGAGCTAGGAGCGAGGAGTGAGAACTCCTGGAGCTGAAATGGCTGGAGTGAGAACGGCTGGAACTAGAACGGCTAGAGCACAACTGGCTGGAGCTAGAAACGGTGAGCTAGGGCCGGCTGGAGGTGGGAACGGCTGGAGCTAGAGACCGTAAGTGCGGTTGTCGGCTGCCGCTAGTAGAGCCACTGGCAGTGGCAAGTACGTGCGGCAGTAGGGGCTGCAGTACTTACGGCTGCGGGATGTAGGCATCTGTGCAGGTCGTCCGGCAAGCAGGTTCGCGGGCGACAGTTGCAGGCCCCCACCCTAAACCCCATTTTTTTTTAGGGTTTACTTTATTTATTTATTTTCTGGCGCTAAAGCGCTTCGAGGCGCGCTGCCTGCAGGGTGTGCTACCTGCGGGGCGTGCTACCCGTGGGGCGCACTGCCTGCGGGGCTGGGGCGACGGGCCAGGGCGACGGGCCAGGGGGCGGGCTGGGGCTACGGGCTAGGGCGCGGGCTAGGGCGACGAGCTAGGGCGCGGGCTGGGGCGACGGGTTAGGTCGCGGGCTGGGGCAACGGGCCAGGGCGCGGGCTAGGGCGACGGGCTAGGGCGCGGGCTGGGGCGACGAGCCAGGGCGCGGGCTGGGGCGACGGGCTAGGGCGCGGGCTAGGGCGACGGGCTAGGGCGCGGGCCTGGGCGACGGGCTAGGGATGCGGGCTAGGGGCGCGGAGGGTGCTAGGCGCAGAGGTCCGCGACAGCGCGGGCTAGGGGCGCGAGGGGCACTAGGCGCGGAGGATCGCGACGGCACGGGCTAGGGGCACGGAGGGCGCTAAGGCGCGCGGGCCGAAAACACAGGCTAGGGGCGCAGAGGGCGCTGACGTGCGGAGGAGGAGGGCACTAGGGCGCGGAGAGGGCGCGGAGGGTGCGAAGGCTAAGGCGCGGAGGGCGCGGAGGTGCGCTAGAGAGGGTGCGGGCTAGGAAGAAACGGGGAACTAACCTACTCGCGATACCATCTTAGAGTAGGAATGCAACGGAATGATGAACTAGAAACGGGATGGGGTACAAATATGCAAACCTAAAAGTTGTACCCCCTAGAAGGCACCTCACTACAGCCTATATCACATCTTTTATATTTGACATGGGGTGGGAGGCAGAGGAGAAGAAGATGGTAAAGGGATCTGAGAACAGGAAGGAGGGGTAGCAGGCTGACAAGCTCGTATTCACTGCTTATTGTGTGCAATGGTTGTCAGAAAGGGGGGGAGTGGAGAGTGGTGGGGCAGGGGGGAAAAGAAGAAAGAGAGGGGAGGTGGGAAAGGGGCAGTGTGATTGTCTCTGGGGTTGGCTGCAAATAGGTATCATGTGTTGGGCTGAGTGAGCCCTTAGGATATTTTTCAAGACTGAAGACTCAGAGTAGTGATGTATTAGCGGAAGCGAATTTGTGAGCTGATTAAACCACCTTGCACTGGGATGTGAGAACAAGATACGTTGATAATAGCGAAGAGATATAAGATTTAATATGATTACAAGGAATACGAAAGGTCTAACTAGCTGTAACTGCTGTTGCGGTTCGATACAGCGACGACTCAGGTAACTGCTCAGTATCGAGTCAGATATGTGGCCTTGCTGTCGCACTGCCTTCGGCGAGTCAAAGGTCGCTGACCTTTGACGATCACTCAACTTCTAGCTGTTGTCTTTCTGTCAACCGCTTTGGTTGACTCGCTATTGCTTTGCTTTAGTTTGCATTGCTTTTGTTGTATTGCTCGACACATCAGAAGCGCAAACTATATGCTTCCAACACCCCCCTTCGCTTCTGGAGTGTCATCGCCTTGAATGTTGGTGACGTGGTCTTGTTCAGTCAGCAGCATGCAGTACTCGAACTTCTGCTTTCTTAGTTTCTTGGTCAAGTAGTCTGCTGCCATCTCGGACGTGGGGCAGTAGGATAGCTCGAGTCTTCCTTTCTCGATCTCGTCCTTCACGAAGAAATATCGCAGGGTGATGTGCTTCGTTCGGTTCGCGAACCTGTTCTTGTTCGCTTTGCGAATAGCAGATTGGTTGTCGCTGAAGAGGGAGAAGCTGGGTAACTGGGCCAGCTTTGCTTCTTACAGTAGTTCGCGAAGGTACACTCCTTCCTTGGTGATTGAACAGAGTGCTATTTATTCAGCTTCAGCAGAGGAGAGAGCAATTAGTTCTTGCTTGCTCAACTGCCACGAGAGAGGACCGATGGGTTCGAGTCGGTAGATGTAGCCAGTGCGCGATCGCCTGTTGTCGGAGTCACCAGCGTGGTCAGCATCTACGTAGCCGATTAGTTTAGGCGTCGTGGTTCCGGTTTTGTGGTGTGTTAAACTGACTGTCAGCATGCTGACGAGGTAGCGTAGTGCGCGATCAAGTTCTGCCATGTGCTCTGCTTCGGGCTTCTTGAGATTGGTGGCGAGTTGGCTCGCTGAGTACGACAGTTCAGGTGGCAGGTAACGGCTGCGAAGAGTAGGCATCCCAACTTTCGCTTGTAGTCGTGTATGCCGGCGGAGTGGAGGCTTCCTTGTGATTTCCGGCGGTGTAGCGGTATAGCGTGGAGATAGTGGCTGGGGTTAGTCCAAAGCGTTTTGCGATGGTGTCGGTGTATTTTGCAGTGCTGAGGTAGATCGCGTTCTCTTCGTCTTGTATGTTGAGTCCCAAGTATTGCGTTACAGTAGAGCCAGGTAGGTGTGAGGTCCCGCTGCAACTCCCCTTCGAACCAGGTGGTGATGCTATCGGTAGAGCCTATGTAAAGCAGATCGTCGATATTGACAATAAGTAGGATGTACTCAGCAGCATTTGTGAGACGGTACATTCCCTAGTCATGTGGCAGTTGGAGAAAACCAATGCGGATTTATCGGGCGTGTAGGTACTGTTGCCACAGTTTCGGTGCTTGCTTGATGCCGTACAGGGACTTTAGCAGTTGACAGACTTGATTAGGGTCTGTGTCGGACCCGTGTGGTTGCTCGACGAAGATCTCGACGTCAGTGGGAGCGTAGAGGAACGCGTTGGCCACGTCAATTTGGCGGAGCTTCTTCCGCTTCATCGCTATTGCAAGAAGGATTCGCAGAGAGGTATGTCGATTGAGCGGCACGAAGGTCTCGGTGAAATCTCGTCTGTGCTCTTGATCGAAGCCGTGCCTTAAATTTGTCAATTGTTCCGTCAGCTTTTGTCTTCACGCGGAAGACCCACTTTTCCGTGAGGATAGTTTTGTTGCGTGCCACTCCGATGGGTACTATCTTCTAGGTGTTTCAGTCTTCCAGTGCCTTTAATTCCCTGTCCATGGATTCGCGCCATTTTTCTCTGTGCTCCCCCCCCAGAGCTTGC